CATTTGTGGAGGTTAGAAGGTAAAATCAAGTTAAGAATGCCTCCCCCCCCACACTAAGGTAAGTCAGACTGGGAGGGTGTGGGGAGGTGGGCATCTAGCAGGTAAGAGGCTTGGGGGATTCAGGAGGGAAGCAAAGTCTGCATTTTTAATGCAATCTAAACTCCCCTTAACCTCCCTGCATGTCTGTACCTAGCTTAAGAACATAGTACATCTCCAGAGTCTGTGGAGATCAAAGCATCACTGAATTCTCCAATGAAAAATAGGCAGAGTACTGGAGTTTCATGGACAGTTTATGAAGCACTATCATCCCTTTTAGCTGTTGGTCATTCATAGGCTTGATGAAACTAGACAGATAAAATAAGTATTCCAAGCAGCAAGCTAGCCTGAACATCAACAGTAAATGTATATTTTAAGTAATTTCTTTCCAGTCCAGTTTTTTACATTTTAGAATGTTAATCTGCCCCATTGAGCAATGCAACATGGATGTCCAGTAGAGCTGCAATCAAATGTATTTACATTTTCAAAGCTATTAAGTAAGACCTTGATCTTGCTGAATGGCATTTACCCTGGAGAGTACATCCTCCTATAGTACCTTGCTGACAGTAGAGTATAGGTTCTACAGAAGGTCAGACGAGGTCAGACAAGGGATGGGGGTAATACATGGCTATGTTCTCAAGGGAGTCAAAGGGCTCTAGGTAGTTTTGCTTGTGTGGAATGGCTGTCAATCCTGGTAAAACCATAGATTAATTTTTCCAGGTTGAAACAGCCACTGGGCACATTTACACCCTGGTACACATTACAGAAGCCTAAGACAAAACTAGTCATTGCTGAAGCTGAGCCCTTTTTGACAGTTTGCAGTGCCTGTATTACAGACTTTGGTGTAGGAATTGTAGAGGTACCTTTGCTTCTCATTAATGGACATGGAGCATTATTCAGACCCACTATTTTAGTGAAACTATTCCTGTATGGTCTCTACTGTGTTTTAGGTATTCCTCATGCTAATCCAAAGTAAATAGATACAGAATTAGGCCAGGACTCGTATAAATATGTAATACTTAATGGCAGGCACATCTTTATATGAAGATTTTAAAGCATAAAAATGAAATTGAAAACATCTTTTGAATAAAAACAAATGAAAAGAGCTGGCATTTCTATGCACATTGAAAGACTGGAATTTCCATACACAAACACACACACACGCACAAACACACACATACAGAAATCTAAAATTTGTTTTCCTAATTTTAGTTGACCAGATGAGCTACTGAGATTTTTTTAAGGGAATTGAGGTTGAGTATATTTTGCTGGCTTAGCTCATTTGGACAAACAGCTACAGCTGTAACATCAAAGGAAACAAAGCAAACAAAAACCAATGGAAAAGGAGAACAAGCAGAAAGTCTGATTTCCAAGATTTCTGATTAACATATTTCTTAATAGAAAACCTAATTTCTTAAAGCATTAGAATAATTTGAACTTTCATCCTGCTTAGTGTTATTCTCACATTAGTGCCTTGAAGCTAGTTTACAGTGGGCTAGGAGTCAAAACTTGATATTTATATTATATTATGGTTGTGTTTTGGCAGTAGATGGAGGGATAATATGCAAAAAAAGAAATAATGAATTAATTTATTTAAATAATTTGGTATTAGAGTCTGGAAGAGGCCAGATAACTGCTCCCAACTATTGCTTTGTAAATAGGACGTATCACCATTGACTTCAATGAAATTACTCTGAGTTCAATAGGTATGAAGAATTTGGGTTATGCACCCAAGTTTGGCATTCTGCTAAATCCTTAATTTGAGTACGGTTACAAACACAGATTATGAGGAAAAAAATCAGACTGTGGAGTGAAGATCCCTAAACTACTTAATGATCTTCTGAAGTGTTTTGTGTTGCAAAAATGGGCTTTACAAACAGTAGAACTATAGCTAGACAAACAATTAAAAGCTTCACGGTTTGCCTAATCAAGATTGGCCAAACAGATCAAACACTATAACCTCTATAGTCTGAGGTACAGAAGGCATTTTTTAGCTTGCAGAGGGCATATATTTGGAAAAAAACTCCTTCATTTTAGGACTTCATCAGCCACTTAGAAACTCCCAATGTTTTCTTTCTCTATAAACAAAAGTATTTTTATGAAAATGTAATAGGATTTTTTAGAGAAATATTTAAAAATGTGGGGTTCTACTTTTTATAGCATCTTAAAAGATCATCACTGTTGCATTGTTTGAAGCTGAATAAAAATATTGGCAGGTACTCTGTGCTGTTCTGAAGACATTTCAGTTTACATCAGCAGGTGGAAAAAATCAGTTCTATAATTTCCTGTAGATAAAATAGAAAATGTTTTTGAGACAATGGCACAGTGTTAACAACTGATATTTTTAATGATCAGTAAGGGGAAACACAACCATAATTTATATACCTAGGATTTTGTACTAAATTAACCATTTTTCATGAAGATCTTACTTGGGTGAAGGAAATCTTAGAACATGTCCTTCTAATAAAGGGCATTCTTTGCATTTTAGTCAATGCACAGCCTTTCATGCCAAGGAAGGAGTAGAGCAGTAAGGAAATCAGCATGAATTAATGGCAGAAATAAATAAAAAGAAAGCCATTTTTTGGAGATTGTTTTGAAAAATAAAAGAATTTAGAATTTCTATGTACTTTTTAGAATCCCGAAGGCTTTTAGCATTTTGATTTGGGTTAGATGTGGGTGTCTTGTTCTTCAAGCCTCTGGTAGTATGGAAAGTCAGGCAGAAAATTCACTATTGCCTATGGGCAAAGAACTGACTGACATGCTCTGGTACTCAATATTTCCTCAAGGCTTATTTATGACATGGCATAGAGATGAACTTTGACAGCTGTTTCTCACTTGCATTTCAGCAACAGCTAAATTACCACAGAAAAGCCATTAAAGAGTGAAGAAAACAGGGAACCTAATATTGTAGTAACACGAGTCACCGTTCTACCTTCTCTTTCACCTTAAATCATAGCAACTAATTGATGGCCAAATGTCCCTTCCATTAAAAGAACTGGATAAGAATTGGCAAGGTAGGGGGAAGGAGCCAATTATCTGATTTAGAAGTTGTCTGCTGCTTCACTAATATTTTTAACAATGCATATTTATAAATGTGCCTGAAAACCTCTCAAAAATGCACTGCAGACACACAAGTCAAGGATTCTTAAATTGTTTGTTTTTAAACGATTTTTTTGAGACAGTCAAAGAAAGCCAAACAAAAATGTTCATTTGAAATAGTATATTCTTGTTTAGATAACTTCCAATAAGATGTTGATGACAGGATGGGAATTTCTAACTTTGGTGATGTCCCATTGCTTTGAAGGGAAGTTGTTTTTGAAGTAGTAAGTGTAAGCACAGCAGGTGCTAGGATCCTGCAGCAGCAGGCAGGAACGTCACATGTTTGGAAAAGAGTACCCTTATTTCCTTGGTAGATAAAGGGAAAACATTTCCCATAACCTTTCCACTGAATCCATTCATAAGTTCCATGGACTTTCTGAGCTCTTGGAGTATACTATTATATAACTTCTAAGACAAAGTGATAGATGTGGTTTTTGAGTTCTGCACATCTTGGATAGATATGTAGCTGCTCTACAAAGAGCTCGGGGCAGGAAACAATATCAGGTCAAGAAAGAATGTTGGATTATCATTAGTCCAGGTGAAATCTCCTCACTGTGGGAACACTGGGTGTATGTACACGTGTGCTTTACTGCACTTGACCAATTAGCTCCGCTGTAAAGCATCACAGTGTATTTGTGCCCCTATTAGGGTGCAGTAAACTAATTAACTCTGCTGTAGGATAGTACTGCCTGGTACAAGTATTCTCCTGTGGAGGGGTATTTACGTACACATTATAGGCTTTAGATGGTCTGGATTTTACATAATCATTTTATAAGGTACAGTGACATTGATAGCTGAAGACAGTAACGATGTACAAATATTTCAACAAATCATTCAAAAGTGTTCTTCCTTATCCCTGTTACAAGCTTCCCATGTACCAGAAATGTCTTTATTTGTACAGAGTTATACAGATCTGGAGCATTTATTCATTTTCCCATTTAAAGTATAATCTTAACTGAAAAGGAGACATGGCTTGCCTCATAATATGTACAGGACAAACCAACATATTAAAGGTTATATGTCAGGAGAGCACGCAGCCCCTAAAAAATAAACTGAGTATTTTGACGGTATGGGACAGTACTTGCTCATTTTATGTAATCTGAAGGAGCATGAGTCAGATGGGATGAAAACCTTGGATGCGGAGCGAGGCGGGAGGTCCTCTTTTTTGAAAAATATTTCCAAATATTGTAATACCGAGCAGAAATTGTTCTGTTAAAAAAAGTATAATAATTTGTTCATCAGAAGTATTCATGCTTGCCTAGGAATGCCATCTCTGGCAGGAATGATTTAGCAGCATCCAGGTAGAATGAGCACTCCAGTCAATCTCTCTCCAGCCTGTCCTTAAGTTTAGAGGCATAATTTTAACAATGGGCTCCCAGGCAATCCCATGTACCCTCTAGCACATCCCTGGTACATCTAATTTTGAGGGGCCACTTCATGTTAAAGAAGTCTCCACAGTGTAAAATTTTGGAAAATTAATTCTATTTTCTCATAAATACCATAATGTCTATATAGCATCTGAACTAATATCAAGTGCTGCTGGATTTGTTTCTTGATAGTTGGAGCTTCCAGAGGCTCCTACTAGCAGTGTGAAACTTTTTGAAGTCTCTAGATCAAAATTGCTTTACCATTGGCCTAGTTCCCCCAAACTACTATTGAGCTGTCATGTTCCTGATCTTAGTAGCTGTATTTCTTGATCTTGCAGAGCATTTAAGTAGCACTATAAACACTGCAACCAGGTTCCCATTTTTATAACTAAGTCTACTCTGTTAATATAAACACACCATGCATTTTTTTGGTCTTGTCTAAATGTTTGCTGTTACTAAAACTAGTGCCACTCAAAATGTCTTTGTTTATCTCAACAGGTGGAACCCTTGATTCAGAAGGGCCATGAGAGCCTAGTACATCATATCCTGCTCTATCAATGTAGTAGCAATCTGAATGACAGCGTTCTGGACTATGGCCATGAGTGCTACCACCCCAACATGCCAGATTCTTTTCTCACGTGTGAGACAGTCATTTTTGCTTGGGCCATTGGAGGAGAGGTAGGATGCTTTATTAAATGAGTGTGTGTACAATGCAGGTTTCTCCATTCTGACACCTGGGAATTAAATCTTATGCTACAGAGCTTTGGGCATGAACACTTCTATATTATTAGCAAATTTTCTCTGACATTATTCCTTGCCATTGATTACCTGGACAGTGGTTTAATAGGAAGAATACGAATTCACAGTCCTTCTTTATATGGCATCACTACTTTGGCATGCAGGGATATGCAGGGGCTTCGTCCAGGATACCACCTCTTGAGAGCAACATGGTGAGGAGGAAATGGCATTGTGGCATCCTCCTGAAAGCAACTGGTGGGAGAGTCAGAATGGGAGGGGTGGGGAGTAGGTGGAATCTGCTAGAGGGATGTTCTGTCTGCTGCAGATGTTCCAGTTAGAGCCAGCTTTACGGAAAATGGCACCCATGGCAAACTTGTGTTTTGGCACCCCTCTTCTCCCTCCGCACCCCCACTGTTGCAGTCATCAGTGCTGCTGCAGGCAGAGGCAGGCTGGCAGGGGCATGGGGCTCAGTCCGGCAGGGATGTGGAGCAGCATGGTGTACCAGGCCAGCAGGCACCACTGCTTTTGTGTGGGAGCAAGGCAGGTAGATTGTAGCAGGTGCCACCCTGCCTGCACATGCCCAGCATAGCTCCTCCTGAGCAGCAGCTGGAGGTGGAGGGTGGGCTGGGCTGGGCATCGCTTCTCCTGCCTGGGGTGGGAGGAGAGTATTGCTGTGAGTGTGAGCTGCTCATGCATATCTAAGTTTGCGTGTATGTGTGTGTGTTTGGTACCCCCTGACCACAGTGCCCTGGTAGTCGCCCACAGTGCCCACCCCTAAGACTGGCTCTGCAGTTAGAACTGTCCTAGAAATGCTGCATTACTGTAGAACTAGAATTGTCATGCCGACAGCAGCGCTAAAATCAGGGCAGTTCAAAGGAGACCTTTAAGCCACCTTTGTACACTACTGAGGTATGCTTTCCTCATTTTGGCTGTACTCTGGCTTAAGGTTTGTAACTTTGTACTAGCTTGGTTCAAGTGAAATAAGAAACCCTTATCAGTAGATTATGGTTTTAGCAAGGTTATTGAGGGCCTTTACAAGGATACCTCTGCTGGGAAATAGGGGTTCTGAATTTAACTTTGAATGTACCATTGACCGTCCCAGTGTCTCAGTTCCCCCATATGTTAAAATAGGAATGGTATTTTTTTTAGTATTTATAGGATTATTGTAATGCTTAATCCATTAGGCTAGGGACAGACATTACACATAAGTGGGTTTAAATGATCAGAAATTGGTTTAAACCTGTAACAGAACAGATGTTCAGTGTATATAAACCTGTTTGAAAATGGCTGAAATCAGTTTGGGATAAACTTGGTTGAATACAATATCAGACTTAACTGATCTGAGTCAAACTGGTTTATGCAATGTCTGTCCCAGACCCCTTGGTGATTTAAGATAAACCAGATACCCCCAGTATCCCAGCATGCTCTCTGGGCTGGGTGTGGCTCTCTGCTCCACAGGAGGGCTGGCCCCTTCTCTCTGTGTCTGCCTGGCTTTTCCCTGCTAAGCAGGGATTATTCCCCTGTCCCCTCTGCCTTACGCAGACATCTCTGCGTTAGCTAGCAGACCACATGCTGGCTACAGTCCGTGTTGTGGGAGATAATCAAGGCAGCCAGGCTTTTTGGAGTTAATCAACAGGTAGCTTAATGTCCTCCCTTGGAAACGCTGTGTGAGAAGAGCTGTTTGCTCCCCTGCCCCCTCCTCCACACTCCCTGCTAAGTACAAATCCCCCCTTCCCCTCTGCCTTGCTGAGGTGTCTTGTTTATTAGCCAGCAGAACACATGCTGTGTATGTGCTGAAACAACAGGTAGCTGGTAGTCTCTCTTTGTTTTCTGAATGGAGCAATAAACACTGAGATAATGGTGATAAACACTGTTATCAGCCTCCCTTCTCCCCTTCCCCCTTGCTTGCCTATCAGTTTGCTGCAGACAGTATACAGAAGCAGGGAGGGAGAGTGAAAAGCTCCGTATCACCAACAGATGCATGCACTGCGCACCCTCCTTGCCTCAGAGCGCTAGCTGGGGGCTGGCAACACTCCCGACCCATGAGCAGGCAGCAGGGAAAAGCCTGGGACCGTGCAGGCAGACCTCCCTAATGAGAGAGTCCTGCCAGGGCCTCACCATGCCCCCCCAACCCCCTCAGGTCAACTCTGTACAAGGGAAGGGAGGGCTCACTCTAGCACCCCCTGGCTTCTAGCCTGAGCCACTGCAGGCATGTGCCTGAATTTCCTCAGGCCAGAGGGATGGTCTGTATGATTGGAAACCAGTTCAGCCTAGCCAGGTTAGACTAACCTGCAAAGGTTGAGTCAATTCAGGCTCAGGCTTTTTGAATGTCTGTTCCTAGCCCTAATGTATATAAAACCCTAGTATGATAGGACATTAGAATGCAAATGTAAAAAAATAGATTATTTGAAGTTTTGAGACAGTGCGACTTTATTTCTAGTAAGCTGAAGTTGATAAGTGACCTCCATTAATAGATATAGGGTCACTTTTGTAGGTCAAATAATTTTACCCAGAATACAATAACTTATGCATGGAAGAACACTAAAATCATACAACCAGAATACTCCCTGGTAATTTTTGCTTTAAAAACTGGGGGCCCTTTCCTTTAGTTTCAAGCTTTCATAAGTAAATTAACTCTCTTGATGATGCAACATTGACACTTTTTATTTTATTTCCTTTAGCAACCTAGGCAACCAACATAAAATGAATAATATTTTAGTGAACAGTATGGCTAAATGGTTTATATGGATTTAGTGGTTTAGTTTATTGCATTCAGTAGTATTTCATAGTATATATTACTCCATGATGCCGTGTCCAGTAAGTTTCAGAAGCAGTGAAGTGCTACTTTTCCATAGTTTATATATTTTTTTACTGTTGTATCATTGCTTTATTGATCAAAACAAAACTGACTTGAGGTCAGAACATGAATCCTATTAACCAGACTTGCATGTTTCAAATTCTAGGGCTTTACATATCCTCCTCATGTTGGTTTATCCATTGGCACAGCAACAGACCCTCAGTATGTGCTTATGGAAGTCCATTATGACAATCCATCATATCTAGAAGGTATGTTCCTTCATACTTACCATAATGTTCAGGATTACAGATGGTAATGCAGACCAAAGTGTCTCCATTCATTACTCAGAATATCTGAACAAAACCAGTCATTAGCAACAAACCATGAATCCATATATTTAAGTCTATAAATAATCTAAGCCCATTTTACTATAATAATCATTATCAGTCCCAATATTTTGTTCCACCCACACCAGAAACCTCCACTAAAATTAGTTTGAGTTTTGATGTACAAAGTATCCTGGTTCCAGCTTTTTCATGAAATAGATACAACTCCAGTCATGAAGTATATATAACATGAAGTACATCTATAATATAACTCAATCACTAGATTTTTCAGATCACGCTATCCTATTCCTTACATTGGGACTTTACTTAATTGAAAGATAACTATACCTAATTTGCCTAAATGGAGTGAGATTGAAGCACACACAAGAAATTCTGGTGACACAGGTATCAAAGCAAGTTCTTTTTTTAAACAGCAAGAGAGGACTACTACAATTGAAGGCAGATTTTAAATACTCAGGATGGAAGATCATTCACAGGATAAAGGAAGCAGATCTTGAAGATTTACTTTCCCCTTATAATATATAATGTTCACAAAAAATGAAGGAAGTTACTTAAACTAAAAATAAGCAAAGGAAATTTTTGACTGTCATCCCAGAAAATCTAGGACACTTCAAATCCAGCTTCTGAAAAGATTAGTAATGTTTTTCATCCTTAAACAAAGATGTGTTGAGTTACCACACCTGAGAATATACTGGTAATGGCACCTCTTACCTCCCACTTAGCTGAAAAAACAGGACTTAGTGAGTTCATATGTCCGTATTAAATCCTGTCTGAATAATTTAAGGGATCCTCTGTGTGTCACTTCTGTGATACTACAATCATATCTACCTAAAGTCAGCTTATTTAATTGGTGATTTCCTCCATTCTGCGTATCAGTTTGCATTCAGTACAGTCATCCTTCTTACTGTCAGTGACATTTAAATGATTTTTGATTAAATACCACCTGACTGTCTACAATTCCAATCTACAAAAAGATTTTTATGTTTATGTTTTTATTAGAAATATTATGTATGCACACTGTGAAATAATAACACGAGCAGATTGAATGTACCATTTCACTGTAGAAGCAATGGAAGGACTCTATACCCTTATACATTGTCATAAATGGCTCACAAGGGTCTGAGGAAATTGGCACAGTTTGGGCAAAATCTTGTGGCCCTGTTCTTTCTCCCCCTACAGTCACAATCTGCCCTGTTGCAAAAGTCATGCAAGAATGGGAGAGGGTGGGCCTACAATATATGCTGCTACAAAGAGGATGCTATAAATCAGGGTAGACCTGCTTTAATTTATGTTGCTTTAATTTAAGATGGAACATGTATTAGTCTCTGAAGCAGCCCAGAATCATGAAAACATGAAGGTGTTGGAAAGTTATGTTTGCCTCCCCTCAGTTCCTGGACTTTATCGTCTGGGCTGTGCTTAGTGGTATGTGCACCCATTCACGGGTCCCAATCTACAATTACCTGGCTTAAAGCTGTGTGATTGTAGATAGGATCCTGATTGTGCAGATGTTCATGAGTGCTGGGAGCTGTGTTGGGAACCCTATCTAAGTCAGGGTGGGGGATAGGCAGGCAGGATGAGGGGGGTGGATTAGTGGCTTCCCAGGAAGTTTGGTGGGTCCATGGTGGGGGGTGCTGCAAGGCTTTCTGGGTGATTGGTTGGTCCATAGGGGATGTTCTCCATCCTGGGGGGACATCAGGGAGGTAAAAATAGCCCAGTCATCGTGGGAGAGAATAGGAACAGCAGAGCCCTGGGGCTGGGGCAAGTGGCTGGGCTTTCCCAGTCTTGGGGCTGTGCTATGAACATGTACAGATATTCATCAGATCAACCTAACTCATTCCTAATCTAAATTAGTCCACTTCCTCAGGTGAACTAATTTAACCAGCTAACTAACTAATTGAACTAATTTAAATTGGGTCAGCCATTTTTTGCCCAATCTAACCTCCCTGAATGTGTACAGACCAGCACTTAGCTCCACCTAGCCCTGGTTAAGTTGATCTAACTGTAATGTCTGCACAGGTTAGATCAGAATCTCAGCCTATGAATGACTTAGGCATTTAGGAACGTAAGAACCTATGACTTTCAATTATGTTCCTATGGGCTGAATCTGATTTGTAGATTTTATCCTGTGAATGCATGCACCTACCCTAAGGCTAAACTTTAAAAAAGGGGAATAAAAAAAAGAAATAACTACAAAAATAATACAAAAAAACACATAATGGAAGGACTGCTTTTTTAGTAATATGCTGTCTAATAATACCTTAGAGAAAGACATAACACATTACAGAAAGAATACAAAAATACATTAGAGGCACTTGCTTGACCCAGGTAAATTAGATAAACCAGCATATAAGTATGGCAAAGTATTTAGATGGGTGAAATTGTCTTAGAAAAAAATAATTTTGACTTAAAACATGTTACTCTTCTTACATTCCTTAAATTACTTCATATTAATGTAAACATGACCCAGGCCAGGAAGATAGCATATCCCTGGAGCATCTGCAGAAAACTCAGACACATGGTGTTTTGTTCACTTTAACAATGCAACAGTGTGCATGGAGCCTAGCCATACTCTATAAATATCATGAATTGTAATATTATATGATTCTATGATTAAAAATTCCTCACCTGGTTCCTTTTCTGCCTTTACCTGGGACTTTCCTCAGTTTTTGAGATTTTGGATTTTTTTGAAAATGCATTATCATGGCTCCTTGGACTGCTGGGCATCAGAGAGACTGTGAATGAGGTGTGTTTGGTCTTTGTTAACTGCACAGTAGTCGAATAACACTGTGCAGTAACGTGTCACAGCACAGACAGTGCTAATACATTACTGCACAGCCTATTATTAGGCTACTACTCAGTAACGTCACTTAAAAGGGGTTCACCAGTGCTCCCAAGGTCCCTTCCTATCCTAATTTTCTATGATTCTATAATGTTCAGTAACTCTAATTATTGCATGTTTATTTAGTACTTACTTATACAAGTACTAAATAAATGCACATCAACCACTGCACAGTACACTGCACACTGCACAGTAGCATTTTGTGTAGATACGCCCAGTTACATACAGGAATGTGACAGGTTTCAGTCAATCCAACACAGATTAAAAAATGGTGATGAGGGTAGTCATGAAGAGACAAACTCATAACTGGAAGATAGTAGAGGTACCTTGCTACCTTAAGAAACAAAAGAACAAAAACCAACAAAAATTCCCTTCAGCTGCTCTTGAAAGGTTTTGTTTTGAAATCACACAAACCTTCTGTGGCTTTATGGTTCACTTTCAAATGTAACACATATAATCTGGTTTTTGGTCCTCTGATTTTCATGTTAGGCAAGTTAGAAAAATGTAACATGGGGGCAAGAGTTGACACATTTATCATGCAGGTTTAAGCAATACAGATATCAACACATCCTGTTTAACAGCTCCCTTGTGACTTGTCTTTATTTATTGCTTCCCAGATTCTTGTAATGTTTGACTCACCTCTAGTTTAATCCCCTCAATCTTCATGTAAAAGCCTATGAACAAATCAGAGAAACTTAAAGTGATTAGATTTTTTATGCTGATTTATGGCCACAGCTGACAATGCTCTTTTGTTGCAGGGTTGATAGATAACTCTGGACTGAGGCTAATTTATACTCCAGTTTTAAGGAAATATGACGCTGGGGTTATTGAAGCCGGTCTTTGGGTCAGCCTCTTCCACAATATCCCACCGGGCATGCCTGAATTCATGTCAGAGGGTCACTGCACTCTGGAATGTCTGGAAGAAGTATGTATGTCTCCTGTCAGATACGATTAGTTTTAATTTAGGATGCATATTTAAATGAACTTCTTGGGATGATGAACAACTGTTAAAGTTACTTGAACAAAGATATTAGCCTTCTACTAGATTCTAATACTGTGGATGTTTCTGGATATTAAAACCTGAGTTTTCATGTGACAACCGTTATTGGTATTTTTCTTTTTTCTTTTTCTTTTTAAGTTTATGTTGCCTTTTCTCATACTATTCCATTAAAGTAATAACCTACTGTTCAATATTCTGCACTTCCTTTTTCATGTTCTTGTGACACGGTGTTTTGCAGAATTCACAGATTATGTTGAAGTCTGCCAGGGCTACGCTATAAGCTTTTCTACTATGTCTTCGAACTTGTGACCTCTGGACTGTCAACCACATGCCTTAGCACCCATGACATCTCAGCCCAATATTCTTTCTGTACTACAGAATGATATTAAATATAAAATTATTTAATGTACGCTTCAATTTTCTACTACATAAAACATTTTTAAATCATCATTGTATAGAAAGTTAACTAGGAAGAATTCAAGACAGAAATTCATTAAGAACTATGAAAAAAGTGAAAAGTTCAATATATTGAGGTTCCAGCCTGAAAAATAGTGTTAGACCAATGAGTAAAAATGAAGATATACAGGTATTGATGTTTTGCTGCATTGCCCAACATGTAAAATTATTCATGAACTAATCCATTGGTTTTGTTAAGAGCTCTATAATTTAATATCAAGAATGAGCCTATACAAATCATTTCAATTTATGGAGATATAGTGTGAAGTAGTGATCAAGTTACCACAGGGTATTTTCAATGATATTTTGCTGCATCTGGACATGGGATAAATCTGTACCTGTAGTTTGTACTAGAGTTTTGGTTTAAGGCCAAACTACGGCTAAGATTTGGGTTTGTATTTTATGGTACCAGACTGTTGCATGTGGTTTTAGCCAGGATGCAGCCTGCAAACAGTGAAAGCCTCTGTTCTTATGGGGCTTCTGCCATTTGGGTACATGTGAAATTAATTTGAAAGCACGTGCTTTTTAGTTTGGGATCAAACCAGGAACAAAAATCTTGGAATAGATTTGAATCTATGTCTGAACACCCGTTCCACTTGATATTTGGGGAAGGGGATAGGGCACAATTTTCAGATGGTAAGATCTGTTTTAGTCTCACCTATTATTCTGTCAAAGTACACTTTGATGTTTTGACCTGGAATGAAAATTCTGCACAGTTTTGTTGTTAGCTCACCTGATACTTCAAAAAGTATTTTAAATATTAATTCCAATGTCTCACTTTAGATTGCCTCACTTAGTATCTGCTACATAGTAATATTTAAACAACACTAAAAATCATTTGTTGAAATAAAAAAGTATATACGCATAGCCAGCAGCAATACGTAAGTGCATACCATTTTTAATACTGTACTTTTCAAAATTTGTAATCTGTTGGAGGTTTATTTCACATATGGTGTTCAAAATGGATTTAATTAGAGATGTACCACACATCCTGGGATAATACATCTGTAAAATAATTGTTTTATTTTATATGGTAGCATTTCAGTTTTCAGTTGACATATAAGTTTTGCTGTTGCGTCATATTGGGTGTTGCTTCTATTATGGTAAACTGAGGGGCAGTACAATTCAATTATTTATTGAATGTCCTCATTTATCTGCTCATGATATGCTGAACTTTTCATTAATTTTCTTCTATCAGGCTTTGGGTGATGAACGACCAAATGGGATACATGTATTTGCTGTTCTTCTCCATGCCCATCTTGCTGGTAGAGTCATCAGAATGCGCCACTTCCGCAAGGGCGAGGAACAGAAGCTGCTTGCATATGACGATGCATTTGACTTCAACTTCCAGGAGTTTCAGTATCTAAAGGAAGAAAGAACCATCTTGCCTGTATGAATCTCTTAATTCTATTTCTCAGGGTAGTGTGAGAGCTACAGGAACTAATATTTGTTCCTGGTTAGAATTAATTTGTGTGAAATAACTTGCTCTCTTGTTGCTTTTCTCAATGTCTTTCAAACCAATGTTCCATAAATATTTACCCACACTTTAAATGAAATATCTTTGATTACAGGGGTGTAGGTTGTAGCTGTGTTGGTCTAAGGACATAGGCAGACAATGTGCTTTTGGTAAAGTTGATATCTTTTATTAGACCAACTCAAATAGTTGGAAAAATACTTCTTAGCAAGCTTTCGGGTTTAAATACCCTTTGTCAGGCTAAGGAAGCTGTGACAGGGGACCTCCTCGTGGCCGATCTCCATGGCCTGCCCACCTGTCTCTGGGCAACCGCCCGCCTATCTCGCCCGCCACGCCTTTGATGTTAATTGATTCAATTAAGATGTCAATTAAGCGGGAGGCTACCCATTTAGTGCCCCGATGCCAGGGGGTGCTCTGCGGCTCCTACCTCCCCAATACCGCAGCCCAAGCCTCAAAATTGCTGTTCACGTAATCACCGGCCCCACACTGGGCCCCAGAATCATCCATACAGGACCCCTTTATGATCCTCTCCTCTCAGGTGGCCTCTCCGCCGTCATCCAGGCTACCTAGCCCCCCCGAAGCTATTTTCCCCTCTCGGGTATGGTCCCCCCGGGACCTTTGGCCTCTTGCCCTGGCCCACCTCCAGGCCAGTCGGGACCCCAGGCCCCTGGCTCTTGGGCGTCCCTCGCAGTGGGCCCCTGGCCCTTTTGACCATCCTGGTCCTGGCCCCAGCTTGGGCCAGTTGAGGGTACTCTCTCCTTCGGGCTGGGTCTCTAGCCCCTCACTCTCATCCTCGGGCCTCACCATGCCACTACTTCCTTCTCCCAGGGGCAACCGCAGCACCACGCCCTGTACGCAATCACTCTCTTGGGGTCTGCCCTCTGTCCACCTGGTGGTGGGAACTAGGGGTTAAGGCGCCCCGACCCGCCTTTCACCGGGGTGATAACTGGCCTGGCATTTCCTGGAGGCTCCCGTGCCACTGAGAGCCCCACCAGACCACCCACTCCTGGCAGGGTGCAGTTTCAGGTCATGCCCAGGCCCAGGCCCAGGCCCAGGCCCAGGCCCAGGAGCCTCCTTGCCAACCCCTTGCAGCTCCCCCTTACCTCTGGGTTGTTCTCAGCAACCCTTCAGCCAGGCAATGTTGCTGCCTGGCCTCCTGCAGCCGAACTGCCTTGTTTATATAGGCAGCCCTTGCCTCAAAATGGCTGCCCTCATCAGGC